AAAAAAAAAAAAAAAAAAAAAAAAAAAAAAAAAAAAAAAAAAAAAAAAAAAAAAAAAAAAAAACGTAACAAACGAGTAAACAAATAAAAAAAACTAAATCAAATCAAAACTAAATCTAACTCCTAACTATAAGGAGATTTAATCAGATACAACAATCTAAACAAATACGTGATCTTTAATACTCCTCCTTGTTTAGATGTTGTGAACTCCAAGATTTTTCCTGAACACCCATCTTACTCCAATTATCTTTCTGTTTAGAGATCGATCAACCAACTCCCTGGTTTTGTTTTTCTCGATCACCGAAGGCTCCTCCTCTGATAGGTGCATCATCAACCAAAACATCTTGTTGTTCATCTTCAGAATCTTTTAGTCGTTCATCTTCAGACTCTTCTAACATGCTATCAAAGATTAAATTGTTTGGTGCATTAGAAATTTGATTCACCTTCGTTAGTTCTTCCCAATTCCATTGCTCATTTCTAGCAAAATGAACATCTTGGCTCACAATAACATGACTACTGTGTGGTTAAAAAACTCTATAACCTTTGGATATAGTGCTATACCCAACAAAGATGCCGGCTTCTGCCTTTTTATCAAGCTTATCACACTTGACCTGTGGAATGTAAGTGAAGCAAAGACACCCAAATACAGTAAGGAACTTTAAAAAAGGTTTGTAACCATACCAGACTTCAAATGGTGTCAGGTCCTTCACATCTTTTGTTGAAATTCGATTTTGCAAGCACACAACAGTATTTGCTGCTTCTCCCCAAAAATGTTTTGGAAGATTCTTCTCATGAAGCATGTATCTCATCATCTCCATTATGAATCTATTCCTTGACACCATTCTGTTGAGGAGTGTATGGTATTATCAATTGATGTTCAATTCCTGTCTCTTCACAAAACCTGTTAAAAGTTTCTGAAGTGTACTCCTTGCAATTATCTGATCTTACCATCTGAATCCAGCATGCACTTTCATTCTCAACTCTGGATTTGAATTTCCAAAAACACCTGCAACTTCTGACTTTTGCATTAGCAAGAAGATCCAACACATTCTTGTTAGATCATCAATAAAAACAATGTAATAAAGATTACCATTTAATGATGATGTTCGCTGAGGACCACAAAGATCAGTATGAACCAGTTGCAGCTTTTTCGAGGCTCTCCATGCCTTTTTAGGAAAGTGTGGCCTATGTTGCTTCCCAAAATTACAAGCATGGCAAGGAGGCATGTCATCATCAATGTCAGTGACTCATTCTACAAGCTTCTTTTACTGCATCTGAAGCAAACATCGATATTGAAAGTGCCCAAGTCTTTTGTGCCAAATCTCAGTGGCACTAGCTATGGATATAAAGGTCATCTGCTCTTTCTCCATCAGATTTAGAGCAAAGCTTTTTCCTTTCATTTTGACATTGAATAAGTCTTTGCCACTACCATCTTTGATCAAACACTGCTTCTTCTCAAACAACACTTTATAGTCTTTATCAAGTAACTGACAAACACTTCAGAGATTTTGAACAATTTTAGGTACAAATAAGATATCTAGAATAAATTTTGTACTTTCATAACTTGTTATAGCTACTATGCCTTTTCCTTCGACTTTCAAGTGTTCACCGTTGCCAATCCTCACTCTCTTGACTTCAGTGTCTCTTAATTCCTCAAAAAACCCCTTGTCATATGTCATATGATTTGTGCACCCACTGTCAATCAACGATCTCTCGCTTGATTCTTTTCCTGAAAAACAAGTGACCACAAACAATTGATCTTCTTCTTCTTGATCAATTACCTGTGCATCTACTACTTTCACCTATCCTTTGACTTTGCAGATCACAGCTTCATGTCCAAGTTGATTGAATTTGGAGCATTTGGCGTCACGTCTTCTCCAACACTTGTATGGTGGATGACCTTGTTAGATAAAACCTTTGTTTTTTCTTTATTTAGATTCACACGTTTACATTTAATTTCCCTTTGACCATTTGACAAACACGTCGAATGGATTAGCGAATTCTTAGACGTCAATTTTCTAGGAAGTGGCACAGATTCAGTTGGCCACTCTCCACCCATTTTTAGGATAGGTTGTATTTAAATAGGAAATCTGTTTACAAGATTTCACAACCGGATTTTGAAGAGCAGTCAAACTTTCAGTCCTTCTCTCTCTCTTATTTTACGCATTTTATCTTTCCTCCAACAACCTCCTGTCGACAATATCCTCTCGGTGATTTCCCTGGCCGATTATCGATATACAACAAGTGGTATCAGAGCCTCGTTGAAGCGATCGGTAGTATACCATCACAGAAGAGCCAACCTATCAACAATCAAGTTGAATAGCTCAAGTGGTCAGAGTGTCGACCTAACAACACACAGGTCTCAGGTTCGAGTAGAAGAAAATGCAAAGGGCGAAAATAAGCACATCGTGGGGTCCATCCCGAGCAAACTCGCTCACTCCTCCACGCCGTCGTCAAGTGCCGACATCTCCATCACCACCACGAAGAGGCCGACGTCGTGATGACCGGGCGTCGAGGTGTTGTTGAGCGAGTGATCAGGGAGACAACGACCGCCGTCGTTCAGTACCCGATGTTGACAAGGTCCAACTACAACGAGTGGAGTGGGCCTTGTTGATGCGCGTCAACCTACAGGCGCATGGGTTATGGCACGCTGTCGAGCCAGAGGAAGGAGAAACAATCGAGTACCGGGAGGATCGGCTGGCGTTCGCCGCCATATTACGATCTGTGCCCCCAGAGATGTTGGCATCTCTCTCCACCAAGCACACCCCAGATCGTGAAGAAGATGCTGCATCACCACACTCGGTGGCAGCATCAACGAGACAGAAATCGTGAAGAAGATGCTGCAGGTCGTCCCTGATCACCTCGAGCAAGTTGCAATTTCAATCGAGACAATGCTTGACGTGAATGACCTAACGGTGGAAGAGGTGATGACCGGAAGACTGCGTAACGTCGAGCAGCGGAAGAAAAATACCATTTCAGCTGTCGACAAGGAGGGTCGTCTACTCCTCACTGAGGAGGAATGGCTTGCACGCCTAAAGCTCCGTGATGACACCGGCGAGAGCAATGGGCCCTCCAGCCGCAAAGGCGGTAAGAAGCCGTGGAAATCTCGATGGCGCATGCACAGGAAAGAGGCGGATCAAAAGAAGGAGGAGTCGACTGATGACGGGCCAATCCAGTGCTCGTACTGTGGGAAGAGAGGTCACCTGAGCAAGAATTGCTGGAGCAAGCTCAGGAACAAGGAGACGGCCGAAAAGGCCCATGTGGCTCAATCCGAGGAGGATGAGCCGGCCCTTTTCATGGTGACTGCATCAGTCCTACTTGACCTCGAACCCGAGGAAGAGCTCCCCAAATCCACAGAGGTAATCGACGACGGCATAACTGCTCCGGTGAACGTCGAACCCGAGGAAGAACTCCCCAAATCCACAGAGGTAATCGACGACGGCATAACTGCTCCGGTGAACGTCGAACCCGAGGAAGAACTCCCCAAATCCACAGAGGTAATCGACGACGGCATAACTGCTCCGGTGAACGTCGAACCCGAGGAAGAACTCCCCAAATCCACAGAGGTAATCGACGACGGCATAACTGCTCCGGTGAATGTCGAACCCGAGGAAGAACTCCAACTGTGCATAACAAATGCACCTGGGGAGCCAATTCGACTAAAGGAGGAGCGAGTGCTCGCTCAAATCGGTGAAAGAGGCGAGCAGCAAGAGCACCGGCGATGGGTCCTCGACACGGGGGCATCAAACCATATGACCGGGGCCAAGTCTGCGTTCTCCGAGCTTGACTCGGGGATTCGCGGGACGGTGAAATTCGGCGATGGCTCCGTCGTCGAGATCGAAGGGCACGACACCATCCTATTCGTCGGCAAGGGAGGCAATCATCACAAGCTGACCGGCGTCTACTTCATCCCGAGACTCAAAGCTTGACTCGGGGATTCGCGGGACGGTGAAATTCGGCGATGGCTCCGTCGTCGAGATCGAAGGGCACGACACCATCCTATTCGTCGGCAAGGGAGGCAATCATCACAAGCTGACCGGCGTCTACTTCATCCCGAGACTCAAGGCTAATATTCTGAGCCTGGGTCAACTCGATAAGGCCGGCTGCCACATTTCTATCAAACGCGGGCTACTTAGGATCCGCGATGATCGACGACGGTTGCTCACGCAAGTTCGGTGCACGACAAATTGCCTTTACATCCTAAAGCTAGAGATAGAGCAACTAGTCAACTTCTCGGCCAGGCACCGAAAGATGGAAGACCTATTAGGAAGAGGTGAACCACCTGGACTGGCGGCGCGCCAACTCGAAGAAGAGGCGGCCGAACAAGACGTGGAGTCTGGAGGACATGCCGCCAGGGACATCGAGCAACCGGTCAACCTCTCGGCCAGGTACCGGAAGATGGAAGACCTATTAGGGAGAGGTGAACCACTTGGACTGGCGGCGCGCCAACTCGAAGAAGAGGCGGCCGAACAAGACGTGGAGTCTGGAGGACATGCCGCCAGGGACACCGAGCCATAGGGCTCAAAACGGAGTTCAAACGAAACGAAATAAGGCAGATATAACACAGGTTTTAGGAGGAGATTGTTAGATAAAACCTTTGTTTTTTCTTTATTCGAATGGATTAGCGAATTCTTAGACGTCAATTTTCTAGGAAGTGGCACAGATTCAGTTGGCCACTCTCGAATGGATTAGCGAATTCTTAGACGTCAATTTTCTAGGAAGTGGCACAGATTCAGTTGGCCACTCTCCACCCATTTTTAGGATAGGTTGTATTTAATTTTCTAGGAAGTGGCACAGATTCAGTTGGCCACTCTCCACCCATTTTTAGGATAGGTTGTATTTAAATAGGAAATCTGTTTACAAGATTTCACAACCGGATTTTGAAGAGCAGTCAAACTTTCAATCCTTCTCTCTCTCTTATTTTACGCATTTTATCTTCCCTCCAACAACCTCCTGTCAACAATATCCTCTCGGTGATTTCCCTGGCCGATTATCGATATACAACAGACCTTTCTTCTCACAATGGTGGATAGGAGTTTTTTGAAACCTCCTCCTTTTGTCTTCTGATAATTGGTAGATGAATCTCCATTCGTCGATTGGTTTTTGAAAAATTTCTTGTTTTTATACCTACTATTGTCTTGATGCTTAGCAGGTAAGGCACCTTCAATCACCCCTTCTTGCCTCATAGACCTCCTTTGCTCTTGTGCTTGTAAAGCATTCAAGAGCTCTGTAAGAGAAATCTTTGACAAGTCTTTGGTGTTCTCTAGAGTAGTAATGGTGGCTTCAAACTTCTTTGGAACAGTGACTAGCACCTTTTCAACGATCCCGGAATCATTTAACACAGAACCAAGCAATCTCACCTTGTTGGCAATGTTGAGAAGTCTGTCAGAGTACTCTTTCACCGACTCCGACTCCTTCATCTTCTGCAACTCGAAATCCCTAATCAAATTCAGGACTTTCATTCCACGAATCCTCTCATCTCCCTCATATTCATCCTTGAGATAATCCTAGATTTCCTTTGCTGTTTTGAGGGACATTATCCGCATGAAGATCATTTGAGATACGGCTGCATATAGGCAAGCTTTTGCCTTTGATTTTCTTGTCTTCTTTTCCTTATGTACTTTGATTTGTGCTATACTAGGATTTTCTAGAAGCGGAGGGACCTCGTAATCCTCTTCTATCTCTTCCCAAAGATCCAAAGCCTCTAAATAAATCTCCATACAAACGACCCACATTTGGTAATTGTCTCCGTCGAAGAATGGTTGTGCAACAACTGAAAAATTGGATTCTCCTCCCATTTTGATCTCACAGATCCCTTCATAAGAGGGCTCTAATACCAATTGTTAGTTAAAGAGGGAGTGCTTGAATAGTAGATGAGAAGATTGTATTATGAAGAGCAAGAATGCTCTATATATACACAGAGAATACAAGAAGATATTTAAAAAATCTACCTTAAAAATGGGTAGAAAAACGGGTAACAAACCAGTAAATAAATAAAAAAACTAAACCAAATTTAAACTAAATCAAATTAAAATTAAATTAAATCAAAACTAAATCTAAATCAAATCAAAATTAAATCAAATCAACTCCTAACTACATCTAGATTTAATAAAATACAACAATCTAAACAAATACATGATCTTTAACAGAAAGAAACTCACAACTTCACAAGATCAAAAAACGAAACCCATAGCCTAAACCACCATACCCAACGTTGAAATGCTTAGTTGACGCCATGAAAAGGATCACCGATGACTGCACATCAACCTAGAGTGAGTTTTGTGCCCTTTTCCTAAGCTTTTGTAGATTTGTTGTCGTTGGTAAACGATGTCGAAGTTTGGGTTTCCTAAGCTTTTGTAGATTTGTTGTTTTAAGCACGTTTAAGCCATGAGACTTCGAGAAAGTGAAGAGAGTAGGCAAGCCAAGAGGTAAAGGAAGAAAAAGGAAAGAAAACGGCGTCGAAAACGTCGCTGGAAGAAAGAGAAGGTTCACCGAAAAAATGCATGGCCATTTGCGCGAAGAAGAAAGGATTCGACAGATTCGAGTCAGACCAAATCCGCGACCCACTACCCACGATCCACATACTTGACCCGCGCCCACCTCTACAAACTTTAACCAGCAACAGTCAAAAAATTTGAGACCCAAAACAACTCACGACCCATTCTATGATCTTAGCTCAATAGCCCACACACCCGCGACCCAACATGCAACTGAGACCCACCTGTAGTCGACACGACCTGCTAGCTGACCTGCTACCTGAAACTTAACTCACACCTCGACTCGAAGCCGCTGCACTATCATGGCTCACTCTGGTTCTGCCATGTGTCAACCTGTGATGAAAATAACCCCTCGGCTCGGTTTGGGTTCTTGCGGCTCGCTCGGCTCGAATTTCCAATTTTAGCCTAGTTTCTACTGTTTCAACCCTTTCGAACCTATTTTTGGCCACGATTAAGGTAATTGATGTCGTTTTAGAGTCGTATTTCACATTAATAGTTGGACTATAAATTAAATTGTGAAATAATAACGAAAGGTGACGAACGGTTTGATAGGAAACGAACCCCAACAATAATTGAAGCAGCTCTTGATGAACGGGAGCTAACGTTAATAATTAGGGAGAACTCCGGTTAAGGCCAACCACGTAAGTGGCCTTACTATAGAATAGGCTAGAAATTGTATGAGCTATAATATATGATTGTTCGCTTCAGATAGCTAGCTTGACAAGAGAGGGTCCAAGGGATGTGCGAGCCACTTGGTGATTCACACTTGCACGTGTGGATCATGTGTAGGGAAGTACTACACATCTATAGTACTTATGAGGTCACCCCTAGTATGAGATAGAGATAGGTCCCTAGAGCATGATTTCATGTGTTTGCATTTAACTTGACCCCTATAGTGGGGTCACTTACCGAGTATTCTTTGAAATACTCAGGCCGTGTGCCACATCATTTTTCAAGTAAAGGCAATGCACCCATGCATTAATGACAACGACATCACAAGTAGAGACCATGACACGTGCATAGGGTAGATGCATATTTAAATTCCTAGTCTTATATTAGAATATGTTGTGTTGCATTTCATTGTTTCAATTATTTTGTATTTTTTTTTATTTTGAAAGTCAGTATTTTGTATGAAATATGTAAAACCAGGGCAATGGCAATGTTTTCAAGAGAAGAAGATATTTTAAATATTTTTAACATTTATTGTATTGATGATATTTCTTTTTTAAGAGTTATATTCTGCATATTAGCTGATCATGAGACATGAGTAGCGACCGTGAGTAAATAGAAATTCAGGGTCATTACATATAAAATTCCCTCTAGTGTTCAATTTGTTGAGCTTTCATATTGACCTAATCATAAAATAGCATACCCATATTTTCTCTATAATTCTTTTTCTCAACAAAGAAAAATGAAAATTTCAGCTTCACAAATTTTCTCTATAATTCTTTGTAAGGTTTCAATTTTGTAGTCAGACAATTTTGTGCACTCGCAGCTTAGTCATGTCGTCCATAATCATCAACCTCGTTCTTTCTCCTTCTTTATAGTTACCGACAACTAACATATTTGTAACTGTTTTAAGTCAAAGTATTCATCTGATGTCACTGAACTATGGTGGCGATGGTCAAACAAACTAAGATTCCAGCTGCCGTATTTAAGAATTTAAAGTTATGACATGAATTTCTTTATATGAAAGATGTCAAATTCTTTTAATTTAACAATATGTTTGGTGATGGATTCAAGGTGTTTTTGTGAATTTTTAGTTGATGAATGAGTAAGGTTGTGTCAGAATTGAGTGCAACTTATTTCTAGTTTAAATTAGTGATAGAATATATGATATTCGTAATCCTTTCATATTTAAAAAATATATTAGTTAAGAAATATATCTTAGATATTCCTAATCATTAGATTTGATTAGTAGTATATTTTATTTTATTCTCAAGATTTAGTTAGTTTATATTTTTCCTTATTTGTAGGTATTAGTTGGTATCTTGTATCTATTTAAACGTTGTGAATATTAATGAAAAAAAACCTTCAATCCCAATTCTATTTCTCATTCTTAAATCTTTATTCTTCCGTTGCGTAATAATATTTTCATATCTATTCACACTTTTGAGTGGTAGATATTGTGTCAGTTGGTATCAGATCCAAGTCGGTACGGTTTGATATTATTACTCAACGAGATGAATGGTGGAAGTGCTTCTATGGGCATAGCTATGGAAAAGCTTATTGGCAATAACTATAATTATTGGAAGTTATGCATGGAAGCTTATCTACAAGGGCAAGATTTGTGGGATTTAATTGAAGGTGATGACACAGAAATTCCAGCAGATACTCCACAGAATGCAGAACTATGTCGACAGTGGAAGATCAAATGCGGAAAAGCCATATTTTCCATGCGAACTTTGATTAGCAAGGAATATATTGATCATGTTCATGATTTAAAGTCACCAAAGCAAGTTTGGGAAACACTTCAAAAGCTGTTCACTAAGAAAAATACCGCTCGATTGCAATTCCTAGAGAATGAACTAGCTATGGTAACTCAAGGTAATTTTTCTGTTGAAGAATATTTTTTGAAAGTGAAAAATCTATGTTCTGAAATTTCAGAATTAGATGCTGAGGAGCCAGTGAGTGATGCTCGATTACGGCGTTATCTTATTCGTGGATTACGAAAAGATTTTATGCCCTTTATTTCCTCAATACAAGGGTGGGCAAATCAACCTTCAATTATTGAATTGGAGAATCTTCCTTCCCATCAGGAAGCCTTGATTAAGCAAATGACTAGCAGCAACGAGTTTTCCCCAAAGTCAGAAGATGTGTTGTATGTCAAAGATCAAAGGAGACAAAATTTTCATTCAAAGCCTTCATCATGCAATGGAAATTAATTCAGAAATGAGGAGACGTCAAACAAGCCTTTTAAAGCTTGTTACAGGTGTGGAAAACCTGGCAATTTTAAACGAGATTGTCAGATGAAAGTGGTGTGTCATTGTTGCGGAAAGCCAAACCATATTAAGCCAAATTGCCGAGTCAAAATGCAGGAATCAGAAGCAAATGTTGTACATAAAAGTAAAAGTTCTTCCGATCCAATTTGGGAACACTGCTTAACCACTGAGGTTCTTGACCAACCAACAAACGTGACTTCAGCCATATATCAAAATGATGTCTCTATAGATGATCAAAATTCTAATTCCACTATTTATGCTTTGAATTTGATTCTCTCCAAAATCCGCTTCTGGACTCTCTTTTTTTCCCCGATGCCAATTTTGCTACCCTTGGTGACCCTTCTGTTTATTCCACGGCCTTGGATTTGGGATTCGACGAAAATGAAGTTTTCAAGCTAACCTTTGACGATCTTGACGGTCTTTACCTCCCCTCTAAGGCTAACGATTTCCTCATCTTGGAGAATTTGGATCAAACTACCAATTCGCAAGATTCGACTACTGATGCTCCGCCCCAGCCTGACCTAGAAATAGAAGCACTGCTTAATGATGATGATTTATCACAATTTGATTTTGATGTTGAGGACTTGGAGAAGGATTTCATAGTTCAGGTTAATTTATGTAAAGAAGGGGAGGATGGTTCAACGGATAATAAGTTTAGTGTGGCTAAGGATTCTAAAAGGGCGACAGGAAGCCAGAATATTGTTAATAATAATTCTTTTGGTGACGACATTTTTGAGGATGCAGACATTGACCATGTTGAAGATGATGTTGATAAGCCACGAACTCGACGGCTTTTGGATGATCGATTTGACACCTTCTTAAGTCAGGACTATGCATCTAGTGACAATGGTGACGGTGCTTGTGATGAGCATGATGGTTGGGTAGCTGAAGAAGATGAGTCCCTTGCTCAGAAGCTCAAGCATGCCCTTGGTGATCATAGTAAGGATGACTTGGACCTTGACCAAGGATATAAAGCTCCTGCAAATATATTGAATGGTAAAAAAGGATCCGAAGATTGAGAGCTTTTGTAGTCTGCCAGTGATGTAATTCACCCGTGTATGGAGTATGTTGAGCCTGCACAAGTTGAGATGAATTATTACCTTTTGTCATTAGAATTGGAGCAATGAAAAGCTCAAATTCAACCATTGGAGGGTCATATCAGTAATTTGGATCCTGCCTTTAAGGCCTTGGAAGAGGTCATGAAACCAGATTATGCTGATGCTCACTGTAATTTGGCCTCCGCTTTGCATGCAATGGGGGAAGATGAGCGAGCAATTGAGGTGTTTCAGAACGCAATCGACTTGAAGCCTGGGCATGTAGATGCTTTGTATATTTTGGGTGGACTGGACTCAAATGGTG